CAGAGTCCAGCGGGAGGGAGGGGCCGGCGCTGGGGCAGCGAGTGCGCGCGCGCGTTCGTCTGCGTGTGTTCCTGAGGGTCTGGTGTACGTGTGCCGTGGGGTGTATGTCAGTGGTTCTGTCTGCCTGTGTTGGAAGGTGTCAGTCTGTCTGCCCGCTTGTTGTCTGGATGTCTACTGTGTATATTTCAGCGTGTGATTTTGAGGGTGTGTACTAGCTGTGTGTCTATGTGTGTATTTCTGTGTGTCCGTCTGTCTGGCTGTGCATGTGTAGTTTTAGGGCTCTGTGTATGACGGTGTTCTGGACATTTGAGGAACTGCGTGTGGTTTTGAAACCGTGTGTGTGTGTGTGTGTGTGTGTGTGTGTCTGTCTGTCCGTCTGCCTTCCTGGTGCCTGATGCTGGGCATGGTTTTGAGGGTGTCTTTCATGTGGACACGCATGTACACCTGTGTGTCATTGTCTATGCATATGCCAAGGCCTCCGTGGGCACGTCTCCACCCTTAGCCCAGGCCCTGTATCTGCAGTCGCTAGATCAGGTTGCCTGCTACCTGCCAGGTAAGATTGCCTAGTGCTCCAGCCTCCGGGTTGCCAAGGCAACGGCAGAATTCTCCTACCTGGAGCAGCCCCTGTGGCCCAGTCTCCACCGCAAGGAGGGGCCGCATGGAAGCCCTGTCTGTGGGAACCTAAGCCAACCACCACCTCCGCTCAGCTCCTCGGTCGCCCCCTGACCTGGGGGCCTGGGAGTGGGGCTGAGGCAACATCCCAGGAGAGGCGGGAGGGGCTGGAGACTCCCAATAAAGATGTGTTTACTGGGATCTGGGAACAAGCAGGGGGCTCCTCCTAGGCCCAAGAGGCCAGTCCCAGTCGAGTCCTCTGTGTCGGTGAAATCTCACAGGAGGCGGCTTGGGGGCAGCGCGGGACTGCCCTCCCTCTTTTACTGACACACTGAAGACTTGGCCGACTGCTCTGTCTGGGGCCTGGCCCTGAGGTCTGTCCTCTGGGCTGGCAAAGGACCTGGCGGGAGGAGTCCATGAAGCAAGTCGCTTGGATGAAGCTGGGGGTGGGAGTGGCATTCATCGCTCCAGCCTCCATGCTGCCCTTTCCATTTCCATGCCATTCTCCTGCCCCCCCCCCCCCCCCACCATGCCTCAGCTTCTCCTCCTCCCTGGATTCTCCCTGCGCCCTCTTCCCATTTAAACCAGCTGGGCTGGGGTTACTAGTATATTCCCACCCATTGCCAAGCACTTTCTGAGTTTAGCATTAGTCTACACATGCCCTGAGCGGGACCTCTCTACACAGCCTTTCCCCTTTGGGGCCTCACCACTGTGCCACCCGCAAGGCTGAGCTTTTCCTCAGCTGGGCGCTTCCGGGTGGGGTTTCGGGATGGGGTCCCGGGGGCCAAGTGGGGCCTCAGCCTCCTCTCCTCTCCTCCTCCAGACTGTGGTACAAACCTCCATGAGCCGGTCCCACACAGCCCTGCTGGGCCTGGGCCTGCTGCTCATGCTGCTACTGTACCTGGGGCTGCCAGGCCCCCCTGAGCACACTTCCTGGCTCTGGGGCGACCCCAATGTCACAATCCTGGCCGGTCTCACCCCTGGCAACTCCCCCATCTTTTACCGCGAGGTGCTCCCACTCCACCGGGCACGAAGGTGGGTGCTGACCCCAAGGTCTAGTAGAAGGATGAGGCCTGAGGGGAGCCCCTATGTGGGACCCCAGCTCCACACGGGGTGCTGAGGGCTGGGAGGGCAGTGGGAGAAGCCTAGGAAGAAAGTGGGGCCCTGCCAAAGCCTCAGACCACCCCCCATGTGCCCGCAGGGTGGAGGTGGTGCTGCTCCACGGGAAAGCCTTCACCTCGCGCACGTGGGAGCAGCTGGGCACGCTGCAGCTGCTGGCGCACAGGGGCTACCGGGCCGTGGCCCTTGACCTCCCAGGTGAGAGCCCCGCCCTGGTCTGGGGAGGCAGCCGGCAGCAGGTCCAAGGGGTGGCTTCCCAGAGGGGGACGTGGGGGGGAAGAAAGCCCTGAGATGTGGCCAGTTGCATCTGGACCCCTGTATGTGGACGAGCAGTGACAGGTCACAATACAAGATGGCACAGGAAAAGGTCTCTCTGTATTTCCTACCTGTAAACGTGGGGATTGTTGCACATCACCAAGCAAGTGGACCGTGCCTCACTTCAGGGGGAGACCTCACCATATTTTTTATGACCAACCAGAGAGCTTTTTGGTGTGTTTTTTTTTTAGCTGTCAAAGGCTTTATGCTATCACTCTTGACATTAAAAAATCAAACAAGCCCTGGCTGGTTTGGCTGAGTGGATAGAGTGTCGGCCTATCCAGCCGACCGAAGGGTCCCGGGTTCAATTCCAGTCAAGGGCACATACCTTGGTTGCAGGCTCCTCCCAGGCCCGAGGCCTGGTCCCAGCGTATGCAGGAGACAACCAATCGATGTGTTTCTCTCACATCAATATTTTCTCTCCCTTTCCCTCTCTCTTCCACTCTCTCTAAAAATCAATGGAAAAATATCCTCGGGTGAGGATTAAAAAAAAAAAATCAAATAAGCGTGACACCCTCAGAGCCCCGGGCCCTCTCACTTCAGCAGTCTGGGGGAGCCAGGCCCCTCCGGACATGTCCAGACAGAAAGAAAGTGTGCAGGGCTGTGTGATGGGGGTTGTGAACGTGACAGGTGTCCTTCGGCTTCGTGAACCCACCGGCAGCGTGGTCCTCTCCCCCCACCATGTCTCTGGGACCCTACCAATCACTGTGACCTCCTCTCAGTCGTCTCGCGCCATGGGGGGCAGGGGGGATGGGCAGGTTGTGTCTGGCCACTCCTGGGGGTCTGTGATGGATTGGGAGCTGAAATGCTTGGGTACCCACGCACCTTTGGACCTGCTGCCTGGAGCACGAGGGCAATCATTTCTGTAGAAAAGCTACCAAGGAGGTTGATGGATTAAAGGACACACATCTTTTAAAAAATATATTTTATTGATTTTTTTTTACAGAGAGGAAGGGAGAGGGACAGAGAGCTAGAAACATCAATGAGAGCGAAACATCAATCAGCTGCCTCCTGCACACCCCCAACTGGGGATGTGCCCGCAACCAAGGCACATGCCCCTGACCGGAATCGAACCCGGGACCCTTCAGTCCCCAGGCCAACGCTCTATCCACTGAGCCAAACCGGCCAGGGCTAGGACACACATCTTTTAAATGTTGGCAATTATTTCCTGACCCTCTGAAACTGCTAGATGGATTTTCCTCCCATCGGTCACGATGAAAGTGCCCATTTCCCCGCATCTTCCCCAACACTGCGCATTACCAGTCTTCTTCACTTTCGTGCCAATATGACGGATGAAAGGTTTTGCCAGCAGGCCTACCACATCACAAAAGAATAGCTTCTAGGACAGGTGGGCCACCGCTCCGGCCCCTCCCCCGC